AATAGTCTGAGGAGGATAGGTTTTAGTTCTGCTTTGACTACTTGGTAAAACTCCCCTGTGAAGTCGTTCAGACCAGGGCTTTTGTTTGCTGGAAGTTTTTTTTTATTACTACTTCAATTTCCTTGGTAGTTATCGGCCTATTCAGGTTTTTTTATTCTTCCTGATTGAGTTTTGGAAGATTGTATTTTCCTAGAAATACGTACATTTTGTCTAGGCTGTCCAGTTTATTGGAGTACAGTTGTTCATAGTTTTTGTTTTTTTGTTTTTACAATCCTTTGTATGTCTGTGGGGTTGATTGTTACTTCACCTCTTTCATTTCTGATTTTGTTTATTTATCTCTCTTTGTTTCTGGGTGAGCCTGGCTAAAGGTTCATCAATCTTGTTTATCCTTTCAAAGAACCAACTCTTGGTTCTATTGATCTTTTGTATTGCTTTTATTTTGTTGTTTTGTTTTGTGTTTTTGTTGTCGTTATTGTTGTTTTGGTCTTTATGTTGTTATTTCCACTCTGATCTTTATTATTTCCTTCCATCTGCTCTCTCTGGGCTTTTCTTGTTGCTCTCTTTATAATTCTTTAAGTTGTAGGGTTAGATAATTTATTACCAGTTTTTCTTGTTTTTTGAGGTAGGCCTTTTACACTGATTTTTAGAGAGAGGGAGGAAGGAAGAGGGAGAGAGAGAGAGAGAGAGAGACTGCTACCACTGGGACTGGGGATTGAACCTGCAACCCACATAGATGCTGTTAACCAGGAATCAAACCCAAGACCCTTTGATGCACAGGCTGGTGCTCTAACTACTGAAACACACTGGCCAGGTCTAAATATTAACACTTTTAATTTTTATAGCAATTCTATGAGATAATTAACATTATTACCTCCAGGGAACTGAGGTTAAGTAACTTGCCCAAGGTCATACATCTGGTAAGTGATGGAGCCAGAATTCAAATTTAAGCTCCAGATTCAGGATTAGGGTAAAGAAAGCAATGTGAGCAATGTAAGTGCAAGGTCAGATCCATTCTTTAAACATTTTGGGTCAAGGTGGTCAAAAGGTACAAACTTCCAGCTGTAAAATAAATAGATCATGGGAGGTGATGCACAGCTCAGTGACTATAGCTGATAACATTGTATTGTATATTTGAAAGTTACTAAGAGAGTAGATCTTAAGTGTTCTCATCACAAGAAAAAAAATCAGTTAAAAAAAAAAAAAGAAACCCCATAAAAACCATTTTGATATTTTGCTCATCCTGCACATTTTTGGGCAATAATTTATCGACTTTTTAAAATATTACACTAGCCTTAGCTGGTTTGGCTCAGTGGATAGAGCATTGGCCTGTAGACCAAAGGGTCCCGGGTTTGATTCCATTCAGGAGCAGGTACTTTGGTTGCGGGCTCCTCCCTGGCTTGGTCCCTGGTCAGGGCTCCTGCAGGTGGCAACCAATCAATGTATCTCTCACATCGATGTTTCTCTCTGTCTTTTCCTCTCTTTCACTTTCCCTAAAAATCAATGGTAAAAATATCCTTGGGTGAGGATAAATAAATAAATAAAAATATTACACTAGAATATTATTTTACTTGATTACTGAGTTTTGGGGTGCCCCCTTGCTTTTGCACCTGAGTGTCACTCACCTCACCCTGCTAGGTTGGCTAGCTTTAGAATCTAATCTTTTGGCCTCTGAGTCATACAAGCCCTTACCCTGGAAAAATGGGGAAAATCCAAATTCTTCCAGTCCTAGAGAGGAGATAGAGATGAGGTAGGGGAAATTGGTGCTAAAACGGGGTGTTCAGATGCCCCCTCTCCTGGCTGAAATCCAAGAAGTGGGAGGCATGATATTCGTTAAGGGAGAGGGGCTGTAGCTAAGGGGCCTTTGTCTCCTTCCGATTGAGAACCCTGCAAAAGAGAACACCAAGGGGCATAGCTCTCTGGCCAGTGGGAATATTCACAGCAAAGGAGGCATGAAGGAGTGCCAAGTTGGCACCTCCAAGCTATTCTCACTTCTCAGGAGCGTGGGTGGGTGTGAATGGTTCTGAGTTGCCCTTGGGCAGAGCGAAAGGCAGCCAAAAATAAGCCCTGTGGGCTTGAGGCTTCCCTCGGGAGGAAAGTGATATTACTTCCTGTGTTCAGATAGCTTCCCAGGGCTTCTCCTCTCAGTTCCCTCCCCTGCACTGTCCCCGGACACCTGTGACTTCTCAGAAGTAGTAAAGGGACAGTGAAGGGATGTCGTTGTCCAGGGAGAGAAAAGGTCACTTCATCCCTTCTCTGCAGCCTCTTGAATAGAAGGCTCGGCCAGTTCTGCTTTCAGAACCTCCACCCTTCACAGAAATACACGGTGTAGAGAATTATTGATCGATGGAGCAGCCCAGGGGCATCGACCTTATCATACAAAACTGGGAAAACCCAGGCTGTGGTTGTTGTCAAATGTGTCATTAAAGGAGACACCTGCTAGGTGTTTAGCCAGAGCTTTCATCTTGACTAACAAGTGATTCGGGGGTTTTTCCCCATCTTTGTTACTATAGATTACACCCCTTGAATGTTTATGTTGTGACATCTGTGTTTATGACAACATGCAAGTGCACTAATAAAATAAACTTGAAGTAAAATTGCTGGGTGGAAGGTGATGCATATTTTGGTATCTTGATTGATTTCCCCAAACTGTGCCTCCAAATGGATCCATTTCAAATCTCAGCCTCCAATTCTCTTTTCAATTCTCTGAATAAGAATGAGACTGTGTTCCAATGCATTTGCATTGCTTTTTATAACCTGGCTGCCCCTATTTGTTTTGTTTTTCTAAGGGATAGTAACCACCTCTTCATGGCTTAATTTCTCAGTTATGTTCTGGTAAATCTTAAGGAAATTAGTCTTGGCTGATCGTGGCTCTATTTTTAGCTTCTGTTGGCAGAGGCAATCCTTGGCATTCCTTGACTTATAGATGCATCTCTCCAATCTCTGCCTTGATGTCAGATGGCCATCTGCCTCTGTCTCAGTGTATCCTCTCCTTTTCCTATAAAGACACCAATCATTGGATTTAGGACCCACCCTAATGCATTATGACCTCATCTTGGCCTAATTACACCTGCAAAGACCACACTGCCCAATGAAATCACACACCAAGGTTCTGGAAAGACATAAATTGGAAGAGGCACGCCGAAACCGGTTTGGCTCAGTGGATGGAGCGTCGGCCTGCGGACTGAAGGGTCCCGGGTTCGGTTCCAGTCAGGGGCATGTACCTGGGTTGCGGGCACATCCCCGGTGGGAGATGTGCAGGAGGCAGCTGATTGATGTCTCTCATCGATGTTTCTGACTCTCTCCCTCTCCCTTCCTCTCTGTGAAAAATCAATAAAATATATTTTTTAAAAAAATGGAAGAGGCAGACACTATTCAACACACTCTAGCCATCAAAAACAGGTTGACTTTCCCTGGCCAGTGTTGCTCAGTGGTTAGAATGTTGACCCACACACCAAAGGTTCAATTCCTGGTCAAGGGCATGTACCTGGGTTGCAGGTTCCATCTGCCTGCAGTGCATTTGGGAGGCAATAATGTGTCTCACATCAATGCTTCTCTCTCTCTCCCTTTCCTTTCCTGTCTATCTAAAAATCAATAAAAATATTTTTAAAATATTAGATTCAGAGTCATTTAAAAAAGGAATCTAGACATAGCTTTTGACTCGTTATGGCAATGACAAAATGTTACTGAGAAGCATCCATAAATATGCTAGACTTACACATGAGAGCAACAAAGATGTCTAAGTATTTCAACTTTGCACTGTGAACTAAAGAGTAACCAGGTTCGATTCCGGTCAAGAGCATGTACCTTGGTTGCAGGCACATCCCCAGTAGGGTGTGTGCAGGAGGCAGCTGATCGATGTATCTCTCTCATCGATGTTTCTAACTCTCTATCCCCCTCCCTTCCTCTCTGTAAAAAATCAATAAAAAATATATTTTAAAAACAAACAAAAAAAAACAGGTGGACTCCAAGGACCAAGGGGAAGAGAGAACTGAAGGGCAATGTGGGGTGTTTATAAGACAGGAAGGGACAATTCATCTCCTTCTTCTATTCCAGTGGTTCTCAACCTGTGGGTCGCGACCCCTTCAGCGGTCGAACGACCCTTTCACAGAGGTCGCCTAAGACCATGGTGCATATCAGATATTTACATTACTATTCAAAACAGTAGCAACATTACAGTTATGAAGTAGCAATGAAAATAATTTTATGGTTGGGTCACAACATGAGGAACTGTATTTAAAGGGCCAGAAGGTGAGAACCACTGTTCCTATTGGGCAGGTGAGCCGTATGGTCCCATCAGGTGTGGCCCCACTACTTGCCAGGAAGGCTGGGAAGATGGAGAGGAACACGTGGCTGTTTGGGGAACCCCTCCTCTACTCCTACCATCTGGGTGCTTGCTGTGCCCCAGTGCTCAGCACTGAATCTGGTCTATAGTAGATACTCCAGTGGAGAGTTGTTGAATGAGTGGAAGGTGAGCATGGAGAGTGAGCATGGGAATGTGGAAAACAGGCAATTCCCTGGTCCGAGGGACCTTTAGAGGCCACGGGAAGTTCCCTGCACTTGGGAGAGCACAAGTCCTCCCCCTTGGCTGGGGCTTCCCCACAGTGGGGCGTGGTGAGTCCTTGGCAAATCATAATAGGCTCGGGCCGCTGAGCTACCCGCCTTGAAGTTCATTTCCACCCTGAGCGAGGCGCCTGCGCAGGTGGACCCACCATGGAGATGGCGGAGGAAGGTTGTGCCCGTCGGCTACGCCACCTGCTCATGGCGCCTGTTCTGCGGGTGGTTTTACCGCTGTCTTTTCTCGGCCTGATAATCGTCTGCGTCCTATGCTGCCGGCTCCCGGCACAGCAGCAGCTGCTCCAGCCACCTGAGGTAAATGGAGAATGAAAGATTCGCACCAGTCCCCTTTGGGACCTCTGGGTGGCCCCCCTGCTTGGCTTAGCGGGGTGTGGAGGGTAGATGGCTAACCCGGTGAAGAATCAGAGGCGGCCGGGGGGCAACAACAACAAAAAGAAAGAGCCAGAATGATGGCTCAAATCAGCCAGGAAAAGAAATCTGGTTGGGAAGAGACAGCAGGAGGTAGAGCCTGGAGCAGGGAGGTAAGGCCGACAGGGCTCCCGCTGGTCCTGCAGGAGGTAAATCCCGTGTGGGGATCCCACGGTTGTTGACTGCAGCTGGGAAAGGTACATGGGACCTGTCGCAGACAGTGAATGACTGGCTTCGGTGTTCCCCCAGCAGGCTGACTCAGAGGCTGCTGGGGGCTTCACAAAGCTGGAAGGGATGGTTGTGGTGGGGGGCAGGCATGGACAGGAGGAACCCCACCTGTTCACCTAAGAGCCCAGGATACCCGCCACAGGGATGGCCTCGGGGGCTGGGCAGGGGGCTCTGCAGTGGAGAGATGTAGGTGCACGTTCCACCCCACCTCAGCGTTATGTCCAGGAAAGTCAAGTTCTTGTTCTTTTTTTTTTTTTTTTTAACCGATTGTAAACTACGGTTTATTTTAAAGGAGGGGGATAAATGGGATGAAAGAAATCTTTATACTATACTTACATATTCACAATGCAGAACATTTTATGCTTAAAATACTTTTTCATTCAGAGTATCTTTACCCAACTAACGTCTACTTTGGACCCCATCAGAACTACATTTTACTCATTTACCTAGAACACTGAGAATAAGATGTACTCTTCAGTCTTAAAAATCAAACCAAAACTATTCGTGTCAGTTTTACAGTTATGCAGAAACTATAATAAAGTTTAGATAATGAAAGATGCATCTGACCATGTAACTGTACTTTATATCTTTGATTTATCTGGGCAGAAACATTGATGTCTAACATTTAAGCATCATTTTACTGAAATCAAAGATAATGAGAAAGCGTCTCTTAGAAAAGTATCAATGTTTCACCCTTGATCAAATGGAGCACCACACAGCAGGAAAATATGCTCAATCTCTATTTAAAAGAAAGCTGAAAGTTTGATATCCCTCACTTGATATAATATACAATATGTTCCTGATAATGTGCATATTAATATTAATTATGTGACATCTTGCTGTCTTACAATTAGCTAATTCATCTATCATCAGGCTACATAAACCTGACAATTTCTACTTTATAATATATCACCCTTTGTATCCTGAAAAATTTAGTTAATCATAAATTGTAAAGCCTCAATATTTTATTTGTAAGACTTTTGCAGATCACTGAATCAAGGCGACTACTAGAAAGACTGCATACCAAGGTGTAGTGACTAAGGAACTGAAAAAAATAATTTTCTATCATAATTTTAAAACACTGAATATCCCAGTAAATATGAAACAAAAGAGAATGCAATTTTTGTGTTAATTTTAATGGTAAAAGGGCACAAGAGTAAAAGCCTGATAGTTCACTTATATTGCATAACAAGCTAACCAAACTGGACATGGAGGATAAATCATAAAACAAGTCATTTTACTTATTGTTTCTATGGAAAGTCAAGTTCTTAATGGCTTATTTCTTATGCTCCAGGTTAATTCTAACCTACTTCCTTTCCACGAGGTTGTGTATGTGTATGTGTTTTTATAAAATTCACAAGTCAGCCCCTTGAGATAAAGGGGGCAGAGCAGGGTGGGCAGTGCAAAGAGGGGCTCTAATTGCCCTGTTTTCTCTTTTCTTCCAGTGGGACGTAGCTGAGTTCCAGCTGAACCACACAGGTGAAATGTGTAAACAGGGTAAAGTGTGAGTGTGTCTCTGTGTGAGTGCATGTGTGTGTGTGAGAGAGAGAGAGAGAAAGAAAGAAAGAAAGAAAGAAAGAAAGAAAGAAAGAAAGAAAGAAAGAAAGAAAGGAAGGAAGGAAGGAAGGATATGAGAGAGAGAGAGAAAGGAAGGAAGGGAGGAAGGAAGGAAGGGAGGAAGGAAGGAAGGAAGGAACGAAGGAAGGAAGGAAGGAAGGAAGGAAGATTGACTCACACCAGGAGAAAGGGAAAGAAAGAAAATAGGGGAGAGAGAAATAATAAATAGAAAGGGAGAAAGGGAGAGGAAGAAAAAACGAGAACAAGAACAAAAGAATGAAAGAGAAAGAGAGAGAGACGGAGCAGTGTGATCCTGGGTGAGGTGATGGATGTTAACTAGACTTTCCCTCTGTCCTTCACATTTTATCTTCTGCCGTGAGAGAGCCCAAAACAACTAAAACGCACTAATAGCAATTGCTAGCATTCCTCCCTTCGTTCCACAGATAGCTGAGCACCTGCTGTGAGCCAGGCACTGTTCTGGGTGCCACCATAAGGAAGAGAACAGACAAAAAAAAGCCCTGCCTTTTCTTCTACTCCGGAAAAGGATGTAGCGTGCCAAGGAAAGCACATGTAGGATGTTTCAAAGAAAAATCAAGTGAGGGGATCAGGAGATGAGCGAGGGAGTTGTTAGGAGATTTCCTCACACCCTCTCTGTAGCCCTCCTCCTGCCAGCCCCGACATTTTGAGGGCTGTATTCATTTCATTTTGTGGTGCAGGAACCCCTGTTCCTTTTTGTTCAGGCCATTTGCTGTCGAGGCTATGATAAGAGCACACCACACACTTACATATTATTAGCTGTGTCCTCCCTCACCTGGTGGACTCTGGGGTCTCTCTTTATCTAAATCAGATATCATTGACATGTAACATATTAGTTCCGGGTGTGCACCATAATGATGCAATATTTGTATATATTGTGATATGATCACCATAATAAGTCTAGTTAACATCCATCACCTCACATAGTTACCAATTGTTTTTCTTGTGATGAGAACTTTTAAGATCTACTCTCTTAGCAATTTTTAAATAGACAATACAGTATTATTATATTAAAAACTAGAGGTCTGGTGCACAAATTCATGCACCAGTGGGGTCCCTCAGCCTGGTCTGTGGGATCGGGCCGAAACTGGCTCTCTGGCATCACCTGAGGGGTCCTGGATTGCAAGAGGGTGCAGGCCAAGCTGAGGGACTCCACCGGTGCATGATCAGGTCCAGGGAGAGACACGGGAAATTGACCAACGAGGGAGGGACCGGACGACTGGACACTTAGCATATTAGGCTTTTATTATATTATAGGATATCTACATAGTTGCCATGCTGTAGTAAGATTCCCAGGATATTTTTTTAATATATATTTTATTGATTTTTTTTTTTACAGAGAGGAAGGGAGAGGGATAGGGAGTTAGAAACATCAATGGGAGAGAAGCATTGATCAGCTGCCTCCTGCACACCCCCCACTGGGGATGTGCCCACAACCAAGGTACATGCCCTTGACTGGAATCGAACCTGGGCCCCTTCAGTCCCCAGGCCGATGCTCTATCTAGTGAGCCAAACCGGCTAGGACCCCAGGACGTTTTTGTAATTGTAAGTTTGTACCTTTTAACTACCTTCCCTCATTTTGTACCCCCACCTCTGGTAACCACCAATTTATGAGTTCATTGGGTTTTTGTTTGTTTGTTTATTTTTAGATTCCATGTATAAGTGAGGTCGTATGATACTTGTCTTTGTCTGGCTCATTTTACTTAGCATAATGCCTTCAAAGTCCATCCATGGTGTCTCAAATGACAGGATTTCCTTCTCTTTTATGGCATAATATTCGTGTTCGTGTGTGTGTGTGTGTGTGTGTAAATATGTGTATATATATGATGTTTTAATCTATTTATTCATCCATCAATAAGGGCCCATTCAGGAAGGCTGTACCCTCATGACCTAATCACTCCCAAAGGCCCCACCTCCTAAAATCATAACCTTGAGGATTAGGTTTCAACATAAAAATTTTGGACATTCAGTTGACAGCCCTCAGTTTCCCTAAACTGCCGTCCTTCCACCCCCAACCCTCTGCCTCCAGGACTGCGGCAGGACCCCAGGCTGCACTGGCAGGGGGGCCCAGCACTGGGCCGCTCCTTCCTGCATGGACCACAGCTGGACAACGGGCAGCTGCGTGTCCAGCGTGATGGCATCTATAGGCTGCACATCCAGGTGACACTAACCAACTGCTCCTCCTCGGTGAAGAACATTGTGTCCCGCAGGGCCGTCCTGGCGGTGGGCATCTGCTCCCCAGTGGCGCGCAGCGTTAGCCTGCTTCGTCTCAACTTCCACCTCAGCTGCACTGTCTCCTCCCAGCGCTTGACATACCTGGCCCACGGGGACACCCTCTGCACCAACCTTACTCTTCCTCTGCTGCCATCCCAAAATTCTGATGAGACTTTTTTGGGGGTTCAGTGGGTGCACCACTGAATGCTCTACCTCCTCACTCAGATTTTTGGGAGAGATTGTTTTTTCCGTTCATTGTTTAACACACTATTAAATATGATTTATAATAAAATATATACTTCATTGCATGGTCCTTTCTTTCCTTAGCATTAACTCTATACTGTAAGGCCTCTTCATTATACAAACAGGTGGTGCCCCATCCTTCTAGGGCAGTGGTTCTCAACCTTGGCTGCACATTAGAATCACCTGGGAATCTTTTTAAAATCCTGATTCCAATGTGCAGCCAAGGTTGAGAACCACTGTTCTAGGGGCAAGCCCAGACATGGTTCGGCTTTCTTTCTAAAGATGTCATCTGGGCTTAAATATAGGCGGAAACTAACACAGGAAACATGCTATCATATTTGGTTTCTTGCTCAATGTCAGTGTTTATTCTATTGGTTTTTGGTCTAACGGTTTTTTTTTAAAAAAAAAAAAAAAAGCACATTGCAGGAGCACAAAAACAGCAGCTTTTCATTGACACTTGGGTTTTTGTTTTGTTTTGTTTTGTTTTGTTTTAAATAAACTATGAATGGCCGAAACCGGTTTGGCTCGGTGGATGGAGCGTCGGCCTGCGGACTGAAAGGTCCCGGGTTCGATTCCGGTCGGGGGCATGTGCCTGGGTTGCGGGTATATCCCCAGTCGGGGATGTGCAGGAGGCGGCTGGTCGATGTTTCTCTCTCATCGATGTTTCTGACTCTCTGTCTCTCTCCCTTCCTCTCTGTGAAAAATCAATAAAAATATATTTTAAAAAAAAATAAACTATGAATGAATGAATATCTTTCTTCCTGCTCTGCAAATTGAGATAGATGGTATTTGCACATTTCCCCCTTCATATCAAGAGCTTTCTTTGAAAACATTCCTGATCAGTGTCTGGTTATTTATTTACTTATTTTTTTTTTATCAACTGCTTTTCTTCCTTTCTGTGTCCCTCAGAGCCAGGAAGGACCTTTCCCAAGAATCATGCCCCACAAGGAGAGGGCAGGGGGTGATTGGCAACCATAGAGGCCACATTTGAGCAACAAAGAAGGTAGAAACAGGAGCTCTTGGGCATTTTCTAGTTTAACTTTGTATTTTGTCTAAGTGTAAGCATTGAAAGTCATCTTGAAGCACTGGGCTATCATCACTCTATTTTTTAATTTTACTTTTTCCAGTTACTTATTTATTTATTTGTTTGTTTGTTTATTTATTTATTTTTAGAGAGAGAGTGGAAGAGAGAGGGAAACACAGAAACAGCGAAGCGAGAGAAACACATTGATTAGTTGCCTCCGGTACGCGCTCCAACCAGGGCCTGGACTGGGGAGGAACCTGCAACTGAGGTACGTACGTACGTGCGTGCCCATGACCGAAATCGAACCTGGGTCCTTTGGTCCACAGGCCAACACTCTATCTACTGAGCCAAACTGCCTAGGGCTACTCTATTTTTGTATCATGTTTGCAGAGACTCAAAGGTAATAAGTAAAATTTTTAAATGATTATGCAAAATAAAATTAAAAGCAATATGCCCATCTGGTGTGGCTCAGAAGGTCCTGGTTCAATTCCATGTTGGGGCACATGCCCGTGTTGCAGGCTCGATCCCCAGTGGAGGCCATGCAGGATGCAGCTAATCAATGATTCTCTCTCATTGATGTTCCTATCTCTTCCTCCCTCCCCCTTCCTCTCTGAAATAAATAAAAAAATTATATTTAAAAAAATTAAAAGCAATATGACAAATCCAGTTTTTATGATGATTCATTCTAAACCAAGATCTGAAGATTGCCAACTCAGCAAATCAAAGGACTATGGAGAGTCAGGTGAAATTTGTTATAACTGTCCACTAAAAAACAGAATCAACTAGGTATCCCATCACCAAAAAGGATTCACTGGGATGGAGGGATTGTAGTCTAGTGTGTGGCAGACATGGTGAGCCGCCAGCACACACTGAGCTGGACAAAGATGGAGAAGTACTTAAAGAAGGAAGTTCAGGTTACAGCCAGAGTTTTGTTGTGAGCACAGAGTTCTTCCTGTACAATTCTCCCCATAACAGTGTGCGAACTCCTCCCCTAAGCCCCAGCCCCTCCCACAGACCCTCCTGACTTACGATGTCCAGCTTCAAGTCTCTGTCATAATTTTTATCTTAACCAATGGGCTTGTTAATTTTATGTAGTTGAGTTTCTTCTTCCCCAGAGGACTTTATCCAAATGCAACAAATAGCCCAGCCGTCATGGCTCAGTGGTTGAGCATTGCACTATGAACTAGGAGGTCACGGTTCAATTCCAGGTCAGGGCACATGCCTGGGTTGTGGACTCAATCCCCAATGTGGAGCATGCAGGAGGTAGCTGATCCGTGATTCTCTCTCATCATTGATGTTTCTATCACTCTCTCCCTCTCCCTTCCTCTCTGAAATCAATAAAAATATACTTTTAAAAATGCAACAAGTAGTGTTTGCATACACCTCCTTGTTCAGCAAGCAAATAAGAACTATTCTGCTGTCTAGACACATTTTGGCTAAGAAGTCAAGTGATCTTTATTGGGTAGCCATTGCATTGGCAGTGGAATCAGCAATGTCTCCCAATGTCAAAGAGAGGTTTCTGTGCATATGTTCTTTGCACAGGAGGGGAAAATGCCCTTTCAAGGAGATAGGAGATAGAATCATGTTTTTCCTGGAAGTTCTCTCTCTTTCATCAATGTTTCTAACCTCTCCCTTCCTTTCTCTCTAAAATCAATAAAAACGTATTAAACATTTTTATTGGTGAACATAGGGCTGCCTCATCTATATATAAAAACCCTGGGTGTAACATCACAACCGAGGCTCGACCAACCCAAAGGAAGTCAGTCCTGCAGAGGTCTTCTTAGAAATGGCTGCACGCTCCCCCAAGCTGTTTCCTGCAAGGGCAGCAAAGTTTGAGGCAGGAAACTGCCCTCGGAGCATGGCTGCACTGAGGCCTGGGTCCTCTTAGCTACAGCTGCGCACTTCCCAAACTGTATCCCAGGAGGGCGAGGTTTGAGGCAGGAACCGGCCCTCAGAGCAGGGAGGCATATCTTTATAGAGTTTTAATACATTATATTAGAGGTCATGGTACTACTGTTTTACCCACAACGTCTACAGGAATTGCTGCAAATTTACTTCTCGGTGGAAGAACCTTTCATTCCCAATATAAATTAACCATTCCACTAAATGAAACTTCAATTTCTAGACTCAATATAAACAGTGAAGTTGCTAAAACTATTAAAAAGGCCCAACTTCTCATTATTGATGGATGCACCATGGCATCCAGTCATGCTATAAACGCCATAGACAAATTACTAAGAGAAATTTGAAAGTTGTATTTCTCCCTTCCTCTCTGTGAAAAATCAATAAAATGTATAAAAAAAAAAATATTTTCTGAGTCTCCCTTGACATTCTCCCGGCTTCCCCTAGCCCTCCGTGTCTTGTGTCCATTGGTTATGCTTATATGCATGTATACAAGTCCTTCGGTTGATCTCTTACTCCTATCCCCAACCCTCCCCCAGGCTTCCCGCTGTAGTTTGACAGTCTGTTCAATGCTGCTCTGCCTCTGTATCTATTTTTGTTCATCCGTTTATAATGGTCTTTATTATCCATAAATGAGTGAGATCATGTGGTATTTTTCTGTCATTGACTGGCTTATTTCACTTAGCATAATGCTCCCTGCACCTTCTTCACCCTGACTGACTGGCCACCTGTTTCAGGGTCGGCGGCTCCATCTGTCCCTCTCCCCATGCCGGAGAGAGGAAATGTAAAGTCATGAGTCATTGCAGTAAAGCCCTCACTGGTGAGGCTCAGCTGAGCTGCAAACATGCAGCATTTTCACTGGCAGTTGTTCCAGCCCTTCATTGGGGATTAATTACTCTGCGGGAGCGGCCTGCCTAGCACGACAAAGCAATTTTCATTCCTC